TTTACACCTATATACCTCCCCCATGTTTGAGGTTGGCACACACGTTACCCATTTATAATCGGTATACAACCCCCCCCCCCCCCCCCCCCCTTTTTCTTTATCCCCGATACCTCAGGTTAGGTACCTACCTACCTGACCTGACCTAGGTAATCCAACATACATACATACTGTACCGGCACGGAAGCCCAAACCCGCGTATAGCAGCCAATAACGAGCCGGCTGGGCATGCGGCCGACCATATTGTCCCTGGGGTAGCACGGGAGCTGGTGAGACATGCATGTATGCACGACTTGCATGTCGCGCGCGCGGATGACCGATAGATATGGAGGTATGGAGATCCCAAACAGTTACATATTCTCGTAGGGAGGTGTACTTTGTACAATTCACAAGACCGAAAACCAGACTAGGCATGCACCCCATACGGTGATCGCAGAACCAGTACCATGTAGCTAGACACATTTTCCAGCCGTGCCGTAGGGTAACCCCTCCCCTCCACCCTCCCCCCTCTCCTCCCCCTCGACCCGTCGGTTGCTGGAATCTGGCTCTGCATGTATGCATGTATGTATGTATGTCATGGGCAAGTGGGTGGGCAAATGGGTGTAGCGCATCGGCGTTTGACTGGCGGGAATTGGAAGCTTTGCATACCAGGTATGAAGGAGTCGGCTGCGCGATGCACGCACGGGTCGTGTGTCCCAAACGAGGGGGGATACCATGAGGACGTTCAGTTTGGGCGCCGGAGGAGCTTGTTTTCTCGAATGCCTGGCGATAGCGGATTGCGGGACAACGCAGGAGGGGAAAAAATGGATATAGTAAAAAGAGAAAAAATGTCAGGGAGAGAGTATTATCTATCTAAGTGCCTAACCTGGCCTAATATTATCATAGCAATAAGGACAATTGGAGATGAGGTTAGTTATATATTATATGTAAACCATATAAGACATTAGAATATTCATCGTGATCCTCAAGTACATTACATGCTATAAATAAAACCCGAAAAGGTGGAGGGGGGGAAAGAGAAAATAAATGTGATCTGATATAGACTTGTCCATCACGATCTCTACCTACATCACTAGACGCACCCTCATCAACATCCTATAAAACATACCTAACCAACCAAAGGTCCGCAAATTATAAACCCCTTCTTCTTTTCGTTTACGAAACGGAGCCCGCTGGGTACACGAAATAAAAACCGTATCATACTTTGAATACTTTATAAAAGAAATCCAATAAAAAATGAGAGAGAGAAACACATCTAGCCAGCCCCATGCAATAAATAACTGTGCGCTGTCGGCAGGCAGCTAGCCAGCCAGCTGTAATGCGGGCGAGTGGACTTCGTTTTCCAATGCAGCTCATACTAATCCTTCCGCACTGGCGGGCCGAATCGCTCGTGCGACGGCATGTTGTACATACGCGTGGAATTCCGTCGTGTATAGTATAGACAAAGTACTGGGTACAGCTACTTGGCACAGCTGGTACAAGTTCGCATCTGATCCGAGATCCACGGTTTAGACCCCCAGGGAGGTTTTAAATGTATACAGAATTTAAACAACCCCCTATCCATATCGCGCGTTAGGTAGTCTTTAAGCCTCAAGGATCTATGTATCTAAGGTCGAGCTATAGTAAGTGAGTGAGTGAAGCCTACCACAACAAAGGGACATGAAAGAAAGAAAGAAAGAAACACCAAGTACTGGTAACACGTGTCCAACATTAGATGGTTGTTATAATAATAAAGAACGAACGAATTCATCCTCTACCACAAAGCAAAGCACGTTTTGGAGACGTACATATCTTCGCGACTCGAGTACCTAGCTAAGGTAGGCAGTTTTAACCGCGTACGAACCAGCTTTGAGCTAACAACTTGCTGAAAGTTGGAGTAGCGATATCCTCCATCCAGAGCAGAGCAGATATGGACCTCAAAAAAAAAAAAAAAAAAAAAAAAAAAAAAAAAAAAAAAAAAAAAAAAAAGAAAGCTCCGGAAATAAAAGTAAGACACGCGAAAAATGTATGCAAAAGTACGTGACCAGTTTTTTTATCCATCCTTATTCGCTCCCTAATCCGGACACCTCTTGACTTGATCCATGTATGTATATGCCCATTGTAGCGCCTGAGAAAGGATGCAGAAGGAAAAAAAAGAAAGGGGGCTGACAACCACCAGCACCTATCAACGTATTAATAGTAGTACCATAAAATATCAAACTCAACAAAAAATTTTATAATGCAAATTATGTCCCAATGGGGGGTCGTCGCTTAGGACTGATCGATCTATGTATGTATATAGCCCGGAACAAAAGAACAACCACCTGAATAGGCGTGTGGATTCGACGTTATGCAAAGCCGTCCCTGTAAAAGGCCCCCCTATATTCCCCGTGAATCTTGTAAAGTACATCCTTCCACACAGAAAAATAAAGAAACCAATTAAATACTTGTCTGAACAGCAAATCAAGTCTACCTATGCGGTATCGATGCATCTTGTCTCAAGCCGGGGGCCACCCTTTGGAGAACTGCCTTTTATTTGGTCTCCCGTCGTATTCTTTCGCGGATATCCCATTTCCATTTTGTGGTTTTTGTTTTGTTTGTTTCTCGTCATCACATACTTCGTTACCGTTGCCTTCGCAATAGCTTTCCGCCATCCAAGGCCCCGGCAGCAAATTTAGTTCCACCCTTAACTAATTCTTCTGTTGCATCTACCTGTGAGCGCTCAGCATGACCTGACGGCACTGCCAGATAAATAGATATTGCTCCTGTACCTCACCCACGGTTGATATTCAGTTGAGTAAGGTAAAAACTGTGCAGCTTACCCCCTCGTTACGCTTATGACCTGTTAGCTCCCAATATAGGTCAAGTTATGCCAACCGACCCTTGCCTTTTGTTTTTTCTTTTCTTTTCTTTATTTTTGGCGTCAACCACGATTCCCTTGAGCTTAAAACAAGCCCACGTAAAAGTGCATTGAGGGCTCTCAGTTAGATCACAAATATGATCCTAGACACGCTGGTTCATATATTCGCGGCCAAGATAGAACGAAGCATCACGGCGGATGCTCTTTACATCCTTATGCCATAGAATATATAGCTCGAGTAAGCCTTCTTACTATTATACACAGCTCAGTTTGAGATGTCAAACGGAGCGGTGCGAAACACAGCTTGTCATAGGGCAAGCTGGCTCATAGGAAGCCAGACTCAGCCAGGACCCTATCGTACCAATGTAAGCCTCTATATAAATCAGATCGGGTTTATATGCTGACGTACCTCACGATCTTTTCGTCTTCACGCTCACGTGGTTCCACGTTCAAACTCTTGTCATACATCTCATGTACATCCCCAGCTGCTTGCATGTTGCTCAAGATATAATCTTGTAATTCCGGCACGGGCTGAAGTGAGTAAGGCGAATTCTGATATTGCTGAATGTCACGGATAACTTCCGCCGTCTTCGCACGCTTGGCAAAATTAATCATATTCGTCTTCTTAATAATAGAAGGAATACCATCCTCAATGAAAGTGAGATCGGTGAGATATACACCTGTAAGATGTGTCAGTATGTATATGATAAGGAATGCGCGTATGGGTATGGGAACATACCGAAGAAAGGAATGCATGGCGGATTTGCAGCATGCAAAGCCTCTCTATACTCGCCAAAATTCTTCGTACTCGCCATTAGACGGCGCATCGTCTCCAGAACAGCTTGAGTCCGGGCTGGCACCTGATCCCAGGTTCTCTTTAGACGTGCGATGGGGGCGGTGCCTAGAGCAGAGATAATCGACGTCAAAGTGGAAAAGTTATTAAGGCTCCGGCATTTCTAAAAATGATTAGTATTGCGTATATAAGCAAATCCGGATATCAAAACTCACATCAGCAACTGAGACGAAATGCTTTATGACGATCACTCGCTTCTTCACATCCATCTGAGCCAGGATCATCTCGGCAACCCAGTTTGTCATTTGATTTGAATGTAAAATGAGTGCTTTCACATTCGGTGCAGGTTCGGGTTCGTTTTCGCCCACCTTCTTCTGCCATGTCTTGTTGAGGCATTCTGTTGGTTTGATCTTGCCATATAGCTTAGACTCGATGATTGTTAGCTGACGGGCGAATTCAGTGACGTCGATGTCGAGGAATTTCAGCTTTTTCATATTCTTGGGCATGATCGGCGGCGGAACATTGTTGTTAAATGTTTGTATCATACGTTTGGATGATATTTCTTTGCCACTGAGTCGTTGGTCTAGGACGGCCATGAGGTTATTGGCGCCGGGAGTCTCCGTAGATTTGACAGTATCCCTTGCAAATGCGTATACATCGCGGATCAGTTGCCTCGTTTCATCGGTCGGCTCCTCCATCCAGAAATTTTCGAACCAAGTCTTAATGATATTCACCACGCGGAATCGGATCAGCTTTTGCTTCCGGTCTCTCCACATCTCATAATCGGTATTACTCAATCCTTCTGGTGGTTGAATATTGAAGCGCTTGACTAGAAGCTCGAATAATTCTCGAGCCGTGGTGAAAGACCTATATGTTAAAAGGAACGTGTTATTGAAACTGAAATCAGACTTGTCGTGTCTCGTGAGTTGTTCAACCAATGCCAACAATGAGCCACCCTTGACTGCCGGCTGGGGTGCCTTGAGATCCCAGGACAGGTCATTCTCAAGGTCAAGCCGTAGGAACGGTGGCGTTTCCTCGACTGGTTGGACGACGGGCGGAGCAATAGAATTCTCTCCCAATAGCTTCGCGACCTTGGACAAGTTACCGGCCTTCCTAGGGAAGTTGGTGGTCTCTTCAGGATAGGAGGCTGAAGATATAAGAGGAGGTCTGATGTTCGCGAGGAGGTAGTCCGAGTCCGAGCGAATATGCATCGAATTGGAAGATAACATCGGGTCTCTTCTATGCGGTCCTCTCTGTAGGCCATCTTCCTGCATGAGAGCTTCATGCTGCTGCTGAAGACTAAATTGGACCTGTTCAGAGAGGAGCTGGAGGGAAAAGCAAATGTGGGAAGAATTCGTTTCCAGAGTCCTCGCACACTGCCTGACATACTCAAGCCTGCCTTCCAATGACTCCCCTCGAACCTCAGACCATTCATCACCTAAGGGACCGGCAACAGCCTGACATCCTAATATAAGGTCCGATATATTGTCGTAAAGGCTTTGTTTATAGGTGCTAAAGTCGGCAAGCTGAGGCGTCTGAAACGTATTTTCTAGCGATGAAAGGTCAATAGATTCAATCATCGTAACCCAAGGCTTGAACATGTCTAGAACTTTCCCGCCCGCAATGCAGACGTTGTTACCGATGAGCTCATGCTTATATGGCGACACAATCTTGTCAGATAAACCGAGATATTTTTCCAGCTCCCTGATGCTAGAGACTAGCATCCTCTTATATTCATCAAGCCTTTCGAGAAGGTTCCCATCTAGTATCGCGGATGGCTCGGCGTAAGCCTCATCGTCCTCCAAGAAATTTGATGTGATAGGGTCGCGGGGACCAAGTCCATTGTTTTGCCAGCTTCCTCCGGTTGTGCTGCCTATGACAAACCCAGGAAATAACCGTGGGATCTCTTCGCCTCTCTGCTGTCTCGCGACTTCAACAAAGCTAAAAACTCCACCGAGTACACCGTCGGCTTCTTGCATACACTTTTGCACAGACTCAGCATTCGGCCAATCAGCTGCGGCTATATGAGAAGATATGACAAGTTTAGAAAACTTTGACATCATGTCTCGGAAGTGAGGATATAGCGCCTTATTCGTCGAGATGATGGAAGGCTGACCAGAGTGGTTGTCGGTAGTGCCAGAACCAGCAGCTAAGAGCAACCGCAAATGATCGGATATATCTTCTGCACGCGCGACGTATTCAGACCGATTATTGCTTATTATCGCATCTCGGTAGCGGTCGATAGCGCGCTTCATATTTGCTATGAGGAGGTTCCACGATAAAGGCTGCGCGCTACCGTCGTCAAAGAAAGAACGAGGTATCGTGGCTGCTTGGGGAAGGTTAAAACTAGCGCCAGTGAAGGAGGTTGCGGAAGCCAGCGTCGGTGCTAAACCACCTGAAGACATGGGTAGGTTGGTGTTAATGTAAGTTCCAACCCGTGATCGTACCCCCCCCTGGGAACCATTCATCGAGTCCATAGATGGCGAAGGAGAGACTCCCACACTATCGTAGCCACGACGTCGTGAGGGCTATATAACGCAATGTGAGCTTATGACATACGCATGGAATATGTGATATACTTACCAAGGAACTCATGGAACTTTTAGTGAGCAGTTCACCTTCGAGTTCTGAAACAGACGTTGCTTCCGAGTCTTCATCTTCATCTTGCATCAAACCCCTCGCCATTAGCTCTGGAGGTACTCGCGTTTTCTCGACCATATTTACGTTCATTCGATCCCGCGGCCCATTTTCGTTGAAAGAAGTCGGCGATTCTAACGGAAGCTCTGAGCTACTCTCTCCAGTCATAGTGTTGTAATAGAATAATCTGCCGTCGTGCGTGGCCTGAGGTATCCAAAAGTCGGCGCCAGATTTTCTCGATGGCCTCGTGCCTTCGAGGGGTAACCCGTTTAAGTCATCTTGATCCGACTCGTTGTCATCCTCGAGGTCTTCGTCATATACCACTTGGTCCTCTAGCTCGTCATCTCCATTGTCACCATCCACGTTCTGCAAATGCTCGGGAATCTCTTCGGGGTTTTCGATGATCTGACAATAGTTACTTGGAAACCAACCGCGGACCCCATTGATCACGCCGTCCCACCATCCGCTTTCTAGCTGGGTAATGACCTGAATTATATCGCCTTCATGAAAACTCAAACTTGTTCGGTCATCGGCCTCGTAATCGTAGAGTGCTCGTACATATAATGTGCCAGGAGGCGCGGTACCTAGTATGCCATTCATGGTGTATGGGTAAGCACGGTCACCACTGGAACGATCCAACGATGCCGGGTTTCTAAGCTCGATAGCGGAGTCGGGGTTCTTGTCGAGAGTGTTGGATCGGGACCTGTTCCGCGAACTGTACGTGTTATCTTTTTGGGATGTTACTATAGCCGACACTGCGGACTGTGTCATGAGCATCGTGACGTGGGAGGCGCCAAGCGTGATTACAGAGAATTCGAAGAATAATAGTATTAAATCATGTCCGAGCCAATGTGGAAAGGGGAAACGAAGTCGGACGAGATCAGGGGATTAAAACCCGCGCGGAATTAGCCTGCTAGAAGTCGCTTCGCGATCAAATATGAACAAAGGCCGGAGTAGGGGAGTAGGAAGGCACGCGTTGACTGATACCGAGGCTGTCGTCGCTACTATCGTCGCTACCGTAGTCGAAATAATAAACGAGAAGATGAATTGCGTGTCCAAAACGATAGACTTAGAAGAGAAGTAGAAAAAAAATGATGACGAAACACAAAAGTTAGAATTATCTAGATGCAACGAATTTCGCAATGAATTTTCCGTCGTGTCGACCTCTCTCAATCGCAACTTATTGCTATGGTTCCAATTTGGCTATAAGCGCTAAGGGTCTTGCTGCTGGAGTAGACCAAAGGTTAGAAAAGATGTGAATGGTGGAAGACCCTTCTTACTGGGCGGGTAAAGAGAGTGAGGTAAGGTAAGGAGTTCAATTCGCTGACGAGATGGGCTAGTCGGTCATCTCAAGGACTGGCTCGTGGGGTGTGTGGCCCAGGCTAAGCTGAGGGCTGAATGAGAAAGTCAGACCTGGACAGACCTAGATAGACCTTAGACAAGAAGGCAACGACCACAATAACTGTCGAGTGTCAAGTTGGGTTGCAGCCTATAGGATTCAGAGCTTGTCTTGAGGGTGGTGAAGTGTAGTTAATCGGCGAAAGGGGGGGGGTGTGTAGTTTTGGACCATCCAGCCGATAATACATGTGGATAGTGGATAAGGACGGAATTAAGGTAAGGTAAGGTTTAATTCTTCTTGGGAACTCTGGGACGTTTGGGACATTTTGGGGCTTTGGGGCTTACTCTAGAATTAATGGGTGTATGCAGGCTAGGTTACCTTAGGTAATTTAGCTACTATAGTATAATAATATGGTAATACCTACCTAGACCTAGGTACCTAACCTAACATGACCTCCTAACCTAAGATAGGTATCTATGGTAGGCTGAGTCTCTAGTACTTGTTAGAGATCTGAGTCGGGGTCTGCTTGTTTCCTGATCTCCCGTCAATGGTTAGGTACCTAGTTGTAAAACGTTTTAGGTAACCGTTATGGCAGGTTAATAACACCGAACTAAGCCGCATATAGTAATAGGTAGTATAGGTATGATCCTAGCGTCTGTACTATGTAGCGAGAGTACCTAACCTAGAAACCCCTCTTTCTTCTTTTGAATTGGACCCCTTTAAATTTTCCCGCCTGCCGAGAGCAATCGCAATTGCAATCGCAAATTGTCGTACGTCTGTCTATACCTACCCCCTTTCGACTGTTTGCGCATTTACTATATCTACCTTAGGTAAGTACAATGCATTATCTTTGACTCGATCTAGACTTAGGTGAATATATGGTATGTACTTCATGTAAGGAAAAGAGCTTTAAACCATGTGGCATGGACCTAAGGTCACTAGGAAATATCGCACATGTAGGTACTGTGTACAAGGGGGCCAAGTTCCACATGTATCAGGTGTCTTATGTACGTGTATAAACTTAGCATTGGTATCCATATCTCAACGTACCTTAGGTAAGTGCTACCTAGGTATGGAAACGTATTGTACGGTAGCACTCGCATTTCAAAATATGAAGACACCTGGCGTGCTTGAATATCCCTAAGCATGTATCGGATCTTAACACCTTCTACGAATAGAAGGAGTATGCAGCCGAGGAATAATTATCGATTAGATACCTACTTTAATCAAATCAATTCCCCCTCAAGCCAAAACGTATCATTCATACCTTACCTCATGTAAGTTGACTCTCGACACCTGAGCACTTTCTGCATCAACTACCTATCATATTACTACAGTGTACAATACATGGAGAGAGGTAACACAATGCATAATGCATAAAACAATTTGTTTTCCCCTTCGTGTGTCTCGGCGGACGGCTCATTCGAGATGCCGGACCCAAGGGGGAGGAAAACAAAATAAGTTTAAATCTAGCGAAATTTAGACAGAGGCAATCGAATAGAGCAAGGGTCCTTTTTTTAGGGAGAAAGAGCGAAAGAGGGAATGGCCAGATGACAGTCTACTTTTTCCTATTAACACTGTACTCTACACAAGACTCCGTACTGAAAACGACATGGTCACACTGTAAAAATACATCTTTTTTTTTTCTCCTTCCAACGTTTAAATATCATAAAAGTGTGCGCATGTACATATGATTTATACATGGCCTTTAGGCACGGGTAAATCAACTTTACAACCACGGGAGACATCTTACCATCTTATCCCGGGGATGTAGGAATAAACTAATAGCCAAGAAAAATGTTACAAGATCATATCGGTTATATCGAAGAGAAATGACAGGTATCATGAATAGTCAAGTCAGAAGCTGGCTGGCTGGGCTCCTCTCTACTGTACTATGTAAGACTCCCATTTGAAGGAAGGGGGGTAACATGGCTCTCACGAAATGTCGAGTATATGCATGCAAGCTGCAGCAACCTCGTGCTCATAGCGCTTGGCGAACCGACGTTGCAATACGCGTACCGAGTACACAGTATAATATGTACGAGTAACGCTACCTAGATACTCAGGTTAGGCATTTGGCCTCGGTGAAGAAGCAGTATCATCAGTATATAGTACTTGATATACGTTGCTTCCTGCGCACCGAATACACGTGGAGTCAGAGGTTACGTTCGTTTGTAACGATCCTAAAGACGTGGGATCTTTATCGCATGCTAGGATTCATACATACCTGTCTGTCCTGATGGTATGTATGGCTTGGAGCTTAGAAGTAGCCCGTCGGAATATTTCGAAGACGCATGGAAGACTTGGATGGAAGCTTTCGCCCACGGACACCCATCAACAAACACCAAGCATTGACGCCCTACTGCAGGTTAAGACGGAGACTTGCTCATTTCATATTAACCCTAGCAACCACCGAACATATCCCTGAATTACACGGCCCTGCCGTTGCCAAATTCAAGGACGAAAACGAAACTCGCTAGACTAGCCCTCCCGTTAAATTACCTTGTTAATTAGAATCTGGATTCAGCGACTACTACATAGTTACTCACGCCCATGCTCACGGTCAACAGATCTACCAGATAACAAGCACCCTTGCAGCCCCTCTAGAGTCTAGACAGGACTGATCTATCCGATCAGAATGACCGTAAGATATCACGGTTCTGCCGATCGGCGTGGGAGCGCACCGGCATAAATGAGTCTTAAGTACAGTAATCCGGCGACCTTTCGTCCTGCCGGAGTTAGGAGAACGTTGGTAAGGGGGGATTAGATCCTCAAAGGCCTCCATTCTGTTGCATCTCAAACTGATCTGAATACGGAAGTCCAACATGATGTAAGAAACCCCAGATCATTGGTGCTGTGACATGTTGCAATATAGTAGCATACCAGGTAATAATGAAGTAACGAGGGGCAGATATATTTGATTCATGACTACCACTTAGACAGCTTAAACACTTATTACTATAAACCGCACCATACCTAAGTGAGCTATGTAAACCGACTAAGAGAAAAGAAAGGGAAAGAAGCAACCTTGGAAGTCCAAGATCTCAATCGTGAGTCCCGCATAATAGTGTCTTCCAAGGAGGAAGTCGTCGAGTATCAGCCAACCCCTCACATTGGCCAAGAAGGGCAGGCATCATCGCCCCCAAAAATCCTCCAACCCTCCTTTTCCCCTATGACGACCAAAATAGTTGTCGAACCATTGTCATCTGCTCGATCCTGCGACCCTTGACACAAGATCGGGGAGGGCGAGCTCTTACATACAGTTCTAAGACTTCTTTGCCCCCAATTGGCCTCCCGCTGCTCCACGTGGGATTACATTCTGCAATCCTACGAGATAGTCTATGCGATTAACTACACGTCGCATCGGCGGCTGTAGCTATACGTACTCGCGTATGTACGTCAGCCACCGAATACCTACCTGACTGTGCTACACAGTCAGACAGAGGTCGTGGAACATGCAATGGTTCGGGTCGACGCGACGGGAACTGCGAAACTATCCTTCTATCGACAACCACCAACGGCGCAAGTGACATATCAAGACGCACGCACGCTTACCTTGCCGAAACTTAAAGAGCGCCAGCCGCGATGTCTTGTTCCACGAGTTAAGTAACATGGCTTCCATCTTGAGTGTCAGCTGGGGACCAAAAAACGACACGTTTAAGCGCATGATCTCAACGATCTTGTTAGAACCTTGATGGGATACAACTCGTCGGATTAGGGAGCAGTTCGCCGCGGGAAGTGATTTCCCGCAGGTTTGCCTACCCGCACGGATAGGCTTACTTGCCTATCTCAATCACACATCGTGAACGGACCCGTGCTGTTTGCGACAGCCGGAAGTGAGAGAGCCATCTTAAAGATACAAACAAAGTGACTTTAAGTGCAGAAGTCCGAATCTATGATACCGCGAAATTGTCCTCCCCAGATGAGCCTTGGCGGATATTTCGGATAGGTACGCAGCAACCACTCCCCGAGTGAAAAGACCTGGATCTCGCCTTAGGTGCAGGGATTAGGATAATATTCTTACGTTAGACGTCCCGGCAGTCGTATCATCGTGGGTATAAGCCAGAATATAAAAATGCGGCGCAAAAGTAGATACGAACGATCTTCAGGGGTGCGATCGATGGGATTGATGGGATTGCGGCAAGATAGGGAAATAGACTGCTGTCTTTTCTCTGCTTGTGCCCTCAAAAATGTCCGACACTTCTCCTTCCCAGATCATTGGGACGCCAATCATTAAAGAATTTTCCATTGCCCCATGTTC